GCTCAATGCAGCGGCTTCAGTAATGTAGGTGCTGAACATGGTCCACTCGGACTCAATGTCCTCAGTCTCCCTTGGAATGCTGTTGAAGCTCTGCTGCAGGTGTGCGTTGAAGATCTTGTGGACAGGGGCCTCTGGCATGTATTCCCAACACACCCCCACTATACATTTAGGTGCACCAGGTCCATCCAGCATCCTCCCCCGTCACCTGATCCAATTCACCACCACTATGAAACAGTGAAACAAAATTAATTGGATTCAATGGGTATAAAATTATTTGAAATGTGACACATAACATGATGATGTGACAAAAGGAAACACAGTAACACCAGAGACACAATGGGGGAACAAACAGATACAGATAGTTGTAATTGCCACTCCCAGTTGGCTGTAAGTTGGTTGAGCCAGTTGCTAGGCACTGGAAGTCCACTCTCTTTCTGCTGGGGCGTATCCACGTTCCAATATAAACAATATGGTGCTTTCAGTCAATTGCAGAGTGTCACCAAAAGATGGTGCTTTTTTCATAAAAACTTTAATTTGGATAGTTAGCTATACAAGTACCTAAGTGCTCGCTGAAAAGACATCATTTGATTGTTGCGATGTTCTCAGCATTATTCCAAGGTGACAGTGTTAAGTGTGTTGGTGCTATATGAATAAAATTTAACTAGATCAAATTTCACATTCTTTTGATAGCTTTCATTCTTAAATATTTTCACCTGTTAACCTGAGTATAAAACAGAAGGATAAAACTGTACAGTCTGTGTGATCATTCACACGTTTTGCACTGCAGATCACCAAAACTATTCCCAGTAAACATTACTTCATTCATCAGTTTAATCTTGTCTAATAAACAGATACAGTTTAAAAGAAGTTAAATGAGGATTTTTTTTTTTGCATACAAACTTTGTGAAAGATCCAAAACTAGATGTGGGGGTTACATCTCAGATAGGTAGAACTTTGTTGTTTGCTGGGTTGTTACTTGTTTAGACTTCTGTTTGAATTATGATCATGACCTACATGTTTTCTGTTAGGTTACAACATATTATTTTGATTTATCATTTACATTTCTTTAAACTGATAATGATAAGTATCACCTATCATTTCTCTATATTTTGAGCAGGAGAGTTTTTACTTGTGTGCCAGTACAGAATGTCTTGATGCATGCTCAATCATCCAGGAAAGTAAATCTCCAAAAAGTTGATTCTGTTCATCTGGACGTAGCGTTTTGTGGGAAAAACGTCACTTTGATGAGTGATGAAACGTTTATCCCACAAAACGCTACGTCCAGATGAACAGAATCAACTTTTGGGAGATACAGAATGTGACATCACCTAGTTGGTTGGTCAGTGTCTGCTAATAGACGTGCATTAGTTTATGTTAGCTAACTAGTGACAAATCCAATAACTTACTGGAAAACAAGGACACTAAAAATAAGAAACAGTCCAGGGGGCATAGCTGGACTGGCCATCGGGCATTTGCCCGGTGGGCCGATGGTGATTTTTCGTTTTTATGGGCCGATGGTTTTGGGTTTTTTTTTGTTTTTTTTCCGTAATGGTATAAACACTGAAAGGTGGTGGATTGGCCAGATGCTGGGAGATGTGTAAAAATAACTTGTTTGGTGGTGGCTATTGCGGAGCTTCCACAGATTCAGTAACATTAGCAAGTGGTGGAGGCCAGCAGGTGCAACACGCTGGCAGGTGGATGATGGAAAGGCAGGAGGAGCAGAGACCCGAGGCGGTGAACTGAACTTCTACTGAACCAGTATTTTCCCACATTTTCTAGATACTGTACCAGTACTGTGTGTAAAATGGCATCAAAAAGTCAATGAAGTTTTATTCTTTCTCACCTGTCTTTCTGTCTCCTTTCACTTTTTAAAGGTTGCCATGTTAGAAAAAATATTTTGCCCTGCCATGCTGTTTATTGATGTGGCAAATGAATGGTTTATGAAAATATATCTAAATCTGTCATCAGTAATCAGTAATAATCATGTCTCACCTCTAGTCTCCTCTGTCTTAATTTCAGGTTTTCACCATGTGTTGTAGATAGTTCAGGAGGTTAACTTGACCAAGCAGTCTACTTTCGGGTACTGTTTAGAATACCAGAATAGGGAGGCTGGTGTAGGTTTAAGTTTATTAGACTGAGTCACTTTTGTTCTGCCACTAGCTGCAATAATGACTTTTATGTTAAATACCCAGGATATACTGCGCAGTTTCACTCTCTGGCTCTTCAGCAGTAAAAGACAGAGTTAGCTGCACTGAAACGAAAAATCTAACTGTTAACTGTAAAACTTTAAACACCTGTTTCTTAAATCCAGTTTCACAGAAAGTATTAAAGTTTTTTAGAGCAGGGTTCCTTGGTTTAAATTAGCCTACATGTACTGTTGGACACATGTTATGTGTACAGCTGTCTGGACTGAGGACTGTGATAATGTATAGAAATGTGCAACAGGACTGAGCAGCACACACAAAGCAACCTTAAGGTGCCTTCCAGAAACTGGGACGTTAGGACCTTACCAATAAAATGATGTCTAGACTACTTTATAAATTTCATCAATTTAAAATTCCCCTGCATGACTCAGTTTTTGTTGAAAAACTCCTCTCTGTAGGAGAATATATTGCCTTACAATTAACAGCAGATAACTAGAGTAATGTTTTTATCTAGTGATGTTTAGGTGTATGTATGATTCCTAAAAGAGGACCGTGTACTGTGTTAAAATCAGAGCCAAGCATAGACAGTGATATTTGGCTGTGGTTTGGGCTTCTGCAGGCGATCGGAGATAGATAATTGTCACCTAGTTTTTTATTGTCATATGCACAGTAAGGAAACATGTTTCCCAATGACAATGAAATTCTTCTTTTGCTTTCCATGACAGATGCCAAACAGAAAATCCACATATAAAGTAGAGAAATAGAATAAATGATCATTTAAAAACAGTAAAAGCAGGTATAAAGGACTACATGAAATACAATAAAAGAAATTCAATACAATATAATTAAAAAGAAAACGTACGCAAAACACTATGTAAATATTTATACAAATAACAATTTACTTTTAATTTAAATGTGAACACTTTTTTGGCATACCGCTGTCAGAGGGCAGAAGGAGAGCTGGTTCACAGATGGCAATTTACTGTTATAAAAATATGCAGTTTAATTCATTTCAGTCAATTGTATTTATATAGCAGCAAATCACAACAACAGTTGCCAAGGCACAAATCAATATATCATTAGTAAAACTACTGTTAAGACATCCGTGCACTGCATTTTACAAATAGTGTTATTAATGTGTTTATTTATTTAGTCATTTTCAGTTTTAAGAAAGCTAGAAACACACTTTCACATCCATTTTGTGTGTTTTTTTCCCTACATTCAGTTAAAAATAACCGTAGTCTGTGAAAGCTGGGAGTGCTGTTTGCATTGTTGCTCAGTAATTTTCTCCTACCTGTCAGCATGCTGAGTTTTGGCTCCCAGAACTAAATAAATAAATCCTGCAGTATTAGGTTGGATACTTTTTTGTAGGACATGTACCTGATGTTGCATTTGGAGAGTCTCTTTCACAGCTCAAAATTTTTGAAGTATAGCATTAAAATGAAACACAAAGGGGTGGTCCACTGAGGAATGCATGCTGGGAGCGTCACACATCCCTCTCCTACAGCAGCTGTTCACTTTTTACTTACCTGAAAATGTTTAGACCAGGGCACCACATATTTCTGGCTTTTTTCTTTAGAGCAGAATACACACATAAACACATCCTTGTTGCACACATGACTAACACATCTCGCAGATTGCTCTCTGACTGCACCTGAAATGCACCTCTCTCTGACAGAACCCAGCATTTCACTAATTGGAGATTATGTATCGGAATTTCAGGAGCAGGACCACGCCTCCAAACACTCTCCTTCGGTTGTCATCCACTGTATATAGGTTCCCCAAGTTCTGCAAACTGTTCATTCTCGTTTACGTGTCCCACCCTTCCTCCCTTCTTATTCTCAGTTCTTTAACTTCTTCACTCCTATTTAGTACATGGGGATCTGCCAGGGACCGGAGCCATCGCCAGTCCCCTTCAAGGCCTTCCCCAAATCGCAGCTCAATTCATGTCCAAGCATCACCTTTAAAAAACGCTGTCAAACCTCAAATGAGGACGCGGGCCCAGCTACTGAATTCAGTAGCTGGGCCCGCAAATTTTTATTTAAAATTTTGTTGAAGAACATTAGCAGTGCGGTTAAATTCAAATAATTGATTAATGCTTTCATGTTCAGAACTATTAGTCAGCAATAATCATGGAGTGCAAGCATCGCTTTCTGTCCTCTGTCTTGCTTGTTTGGTGCGCACAACCTGTATTTAATTATCTAAATTAGTGTTTTATAGAAAGGTTCAACATTATAGTTCTGGTATATTCATAGAATTCCTGAATAAATTCAAAAGGCACGACTATAGACTATAAACCTGTAAATAAACCCATGTCAACACTGCTCCCCCGGGTGGACACAAAGACATTATCACCAGTTTTCCCAAATGCTACTTATGGGCGTTCCTACTCTCCGATGTGTCGTCTACGTCAGAGATGAGGGATATAATTAATATCAAAGACAAGCCAAGGACCAGTCAAGAATCAGTCAAGGACATGCCGTGGTCCTTGACAGGACCAGACACCATTTTAAGTGAATGATGATGCTCAATTTAGAAATACATGACGCAGGGAGGTTAATAATAATAATAATAATACATTTTATTTGAAAGCGCCTTTCAAAACACTCAAGGTCACTGTACACAGTAGAATAAAAGCAACATAAAAGCAAGCAGTTTACAGAATCATAAAAGCATAAGACATAAACAAATAAAATGGCAGAGTGGAGAGGTTATGTGGGATAAGCTATTTTGTACAAGTGGGTCTTGAGTTTGGACTTAAAGAGTGAGAAGGAAGAGATATTTCTTAAATCAGGAGGTCGGAAATTCCAGAGTCGTGGAGCAGAGCAGCTGAATGCCCTGCTCCCCATCGACGGGGGGAAGGGACGGAGAGTGAAAGGGAAGAAGAAGATCTGAGACAACGAGATGGGGCGGTGATCTTAACCAGATCAGAGGAGATCATGGAGGAGAGAGATGATGAACAGCCTTAAATGTGTACAAGAGTATTTTGAAATTGATGCGATATTTGACCGGGAGCCAATGAAGATGCTGCAAGGCAGGAGTGATGTGGTGGATAGAAGGGGTCCTGGAGATGATATGGGCAGCAGAGTTCTGGACGTGTTGGAGCTTGTGGATGGATTTTTGAGTAAGACCAGAAATAAGTGAATTACAATAATCAATCCGGGAAGTAATAAGGCCATGGACAAGAATGCCAGTGGCATGTGGGGTGAGAAAAGGACGGAGACGATTAATGTTGCGCAATCGAAAATATGCAGACTGAGTAGCATTATTAATGTGTGAATTGAAAGATAAAGTACTGTCGAGGATGACACCCAAACTTTTCACAGAGGAAGAAATGAAGACCGGTGAGTTATCGATAGCAATAGAGAAACTGTTGGTTCTGGATAATGTTGATTTAGATCCTACCAAGAGGAGCTCAGATTTATTACTATTGAGTTTGAGAAAATTAGAAGAGAACCATAAATTTAGTTCAGCTAAGCAGAGGGTAAGGGAGGATGGGGGAAGAACAGAATCAGGTTTAGTGGACAGATAAAGCTGGGTGTCATCGGCATAACAGTGGAAATGGATATTGTATTTACGGAAAATGTGTCCAAGCGGTAGAAGGTAGGTAATGAAAAGAAGGGGCCCCAGGACAGATCCCTGGGGCACGCCAGTGGTCAGAGGAAAGGGCTGAGAAGTAAAGGATTTGAGTTGAATGAACTGAGTGCGATCAGACAGGTATGAATTAAACCAGGCTAGTGGAGTATGGGAGAGTCCGATGGAGGCTAGCCTACTGAGAAGAATGGAGTGAGAAATAGTGTCGAAAGCAGCGCTCAGATCGAGGAGAATAAGAATGGAAAGTAAACCGGAGTCAGCTGCCATACGAAGATCATTGGTTATTTTTATAAGTGCTGTTTCAGTGCTATGGGAGGGTTGAAAACCAGACTGGAACTGTTCATACAGATTATTATTAGTTAAATGTGAGTGGAGTTGTGTGGCAACTATTTTCTCAAGAATTTTTGAAAGGAATGGTAGATTGGAAATAGGCCGAAAATTCTTAAAATTATTGGGATCTAGACCATTTTTTTTCAATATTGGGGTGATGGCGGCAATTTTGAGGGAAGCAGGAACAGTTCCAGTGGTAAGTGAAGAGCAGATGATGGCAGATATGAGGGGAAGCAAAGAAGGTAAACATGCCTTAACCAAAACTGTAGGAATGGGGTCTCGCTGACAAGTAGAAGGTTTTGACTTACAGATGAAATCTGAAATATCAGTAACCGAGGGGAGCTGGAAAGCAGAAAAAACAGTGTGATGGGAGATGAATTACACAGGAAGAGCTAAATGGAACCTCGGAAACCAGTTCTTGGTGTATTTTGTGAATTTTCTCAATGAAAAATAACATTAAAGAATCACAAAAGGAGGACGAGTAAAGATGAGCAGGTAAAGAATCTGGTGACCTGAAAGAAGAGTTGAACAGTGAAAACAGTATCTTGGTTGAGTCATCTTTTGAACAGATAATGGTGGAGTAGTAAGCAGATTTTGTTTGATTAATACACTCTTTATAATACATAATATGATTATTAAACATTTTCTTGTGGATATTCAGACCAGTTTTCTTATAAAGGCGTTCAAGTCGTCGTCCTTTTGCTTTCAGGAGCCTGAGTTCAGCTGTAAACCAGGGTGCTGACTGAGATTTTTTTAGTTGTTTGGGGCAACAGAGTTTAGAATACTATTGAGACTAGAGTTATAATAGGAAACTAAGTGCTCTTGGGTAAGCAGGTTATGAAAATGCAAATGACTAGAGAAAGCAAAAGAAAGAGTATCAGGATTGATTTTCTTAATATTCAGAAGAGAAATGGTACGAAGGTTCTTGGTTATAGAAAAGGTCATTTTGATATTGAAAGAAAGAAGCAAGTGGTCAGAAATTAGCAGTTCATCAGCTTAGCAATTAAAAGGAGTAAGTCCAGAGCAACAAACTAGGTCCAAAGTATGGCCCTTAGTATGAGTAGGAAAGTTTATGTGTTGTTTAAAGCCAAAACTATCGAGGTAGGATGAGAAGTCTTTGGTGAGTGGATGATCACTCTTATCCATATGAATATTAAAGTCTCCAAGGAGTATTATATTAGGGGAAACAGTAGCTATGTGAGTCAGGAGATCAACAAAGTCACTTATGAAGACAGAATTAGACTTTGGGGGGGGCGTAAATAACAGCTATGACATTTGGAACAGGTCCTGAGAGTTGACAGACAATGGATTCAAAGGAACTGTAGACAGGTACAGACAACGGTGTGACTTTCCAGTTCTCACGATAGATTACCGCGAGACCTCCACCACGGCCGGACAGTCGTTGAGTCATTGGGCAGTTGCCACGTCTCGGTCAAACAGAAAAAGTCAAACTTACGATCTGTGAGTAGATCCCGAATTAGATGACCCTTGCTCGGATGAGCAGATGTTAAGGAGGCCGAAGTTGACATTGGTGTTGTCAGACTGGACAGAGGTGTTAGCCGACCTGGGCAGGGTGGCTAAAACACTTTGGTCAGCAGCCCTGTCGGGGTTCCGTGGAGGATGACGTGAAGTGGACCAGAGGGACTGTATTGGCTTAGAGTCGTCATGGTGAAAATTCCGACGAGAGCCCCAGTGGATGTACTTTCGGCGAGGGAGGAAGGTGATATCTGTTTGGAGATGAAGCACAGCCAGCGGTGGAGAAGCCAGGTGAAAGTGGAGACGGAGAATCTCGTCAGCTGAGTATTGGTGAAATCCAGTACTAGGTCGATAGACCAATGACATAAAAATCCAGACCCACACGAGCAAGACGCAGATCCTGCCAGGCCACATCACGCACAGTCAGCTGTATGGATCCGAGAGAGACAACGGCCAAAACAAACAGGCAGATGAAAGAAACTCAGGCACTTGCAAAATTTGCTGGATCACCAGTAGTATCAGTAGAAGACAAGGTTTAAAATTTGTTAAGATGTATCAAAGAATATATATAAATAAAATAAAAGATAAATAAAAGATAAACAAATACCAGTGAGTAGCGGCAGCAAGTTGCGCCAGCGTTCACTCAACCGGAAGCAGACCGGCTAAATAATGTTTTCAATACATTGGAGTCGCTGTTGTAACCATGATTGGAATTACCGATCATGGTGACGTAGACGACACATCGGAGAATTACCAAGAGCTACGTGTAACTAATGGCTTATGTTTTCCTTAAAAAAGGTAACGGCAGTGACAACTTTTGTAAAAATGCTTTTTCCAAAATTGCTGCTACAGGGCATCAAACCACCTGCTGCCATCCATACTGTACTCTCAAAATTATGTAATTTAATCCATTTGTATTTTGGTATGATCCCATGGTGGGTAATACCAGCAACTAGAAGCTTCATATGAAATAATGAGATAAAAGCCAACAATTCTGATAAATGAAAAGAGACATTGGACTAACCATGAGCCATTTTTATAGGAAATAGTGATGTCATCACCGCCATATTTTGTTTCAAACAGATTTGTCTTAATTGGAGGCACCAGTGAGAATTCCATTACTCTATAAATGTCACATAATAATCATTATAATTGTAATAATAATTCTAATAAATACATACTTGTTTTACAGTAAATAATTTAGCAGAGCAGGATATTTCATGATAGAAAAATAACTGACCTAATACAAAAAATGCTCCTGTTCATGCTGTTTTGAAAACTGAGCTACCTGAGTGGGAAGAGCTGGAGTGTATGAAAACATTACCACTGATGCAAGTGTCATTTCTGTGCACAGAGAATCAGTTAGAAATGTCACTGTCATGGTTGGAATCTTTATCACCTTCCTTCACCAGAACTCTTTCTTCAGATCGGTCTAGCCACTTGAGTTGAAAAGACTCCTTTTTGTGTGTCACATCAGCAGTGGGGTTTCAGAGGCGGCAGCAGTATGGCTGCACAGTGAGGTCTGCGTGAGCAGGGAGGCCAGCTTTAAGATGAATAATTTCTGATCTTGGCTGTGGTTCAAGCGGCGGTCACTCAGACTGCACCGCTGAGAGCAGTTTTAAAGCGCTGGGAGATAGCACAAACAATAAAAATAAAGCCATGGCACTGGATAACAACTCAGGGGAGTAAACAGGCTCCATGCAGCATACTGCACTTCAGTAATTACAGTCATTACAGTCAAGGTAAAAAGTGAAATATCTTCTCTGTTGTCCATTTTTGAAAAAGGAATTAATACCAATATTTATGAAAGGAGAGCCAAGTTTCATGACTCTAGGTGGACAGTTAAATTATATCTA